AAAATCCAATGCTCAGAACTGGTCACAAATTCCCAAATTTGATCTGCTGAGGGTCTCATTTTGTAACTAATGCATTATTTGATCTGGAAACTCTATTAATGGAATCCAAGTTTGTATTATCAACTTCTTATAACTATGACTCATTCTTGGTTCATTTTAGGGCTGTGTTCCTCTATGATTACCAGATTGTTTTCACATAAAACTAACATCAATTCTCTTTCAACAGTTTCTTAATTGGGTGGTAGTTGTTTTTAAATATAAAATTTGTCCTTAGAGCAAGAGTTTTAGTCTAGCCCAATTCCACCATCAACAATAATGGCCAGGGCCAGGCATTTAGCTGGGTGGTTCCGCCACCTGCCTCACAAGCACAAGGTCCCTTGTTCGATCCCCAGTACCAAAAAAACAAAAACAATAGTAGCCAGATCTTCCAACTTACTACCACCATAGACTTGACAAGTACACCATTATTTATCTTCATTTGCCAGCTAGGATATGGTTGAAAGCAAGAGGGCTGTTGAGCCATGAGACTAAAGACCTTCCCTGAAATTGATATTAGTGTATCACTCAATGTTTCTTGAAGCTACATGTTTAAACAGCTACAGATTCTCTTGACTTCACTGTTATCAATCCTAAAATTCCTTAGCATGAAAGACTTTGCTAAATGCCTTGCTAAATGGGTACATAACTTTTCTGTGACATCCTCTTAATACCTCTATAGTAACTATCAAAAGAGGAATTGATAAGGAAATATTCATTTGGTTTCACAACATCTCAGGGCCTTCTATGATAACATTCCATAAAAACAATTTGGGGATGACTGATAAGATCAGAACACGCCGCTTGGGCCATGCTAAGTAATAACATCAAATGAAAAGCATATTCACCAGTATGCTGTCTTCAATGTCCTAGTTTCAGCTGTAATCAAAAAGTAATTTCTCCAGTTTTCTCTTTTATTCTAAACAATATGCATAGTCTTCAGTCCAGTCAGCATATATGAAGCAATTCTGCTATTTTCCAGCCCCCAACCTTTACCTTCAGCAATGACTTAAATTCTGACTGTACTCATCAAATTCAAGTGGATATTGTCTGGGGGTTAACTTCCATTCGAAAGAAAGAAAATGATAGCATCTATGGTACAGCCAAGGATGGAAGGAGAGTAATTTACCTGATGGGTGAGTTTGGGATAAGTAAAGGATGCAGGTAGCTCTTCTCCTTCCTCTCTCCTTCCTTTCAAGAGCCAACCTGTGAGCAAAGAACACAGACTCTCAATCACTACGACAATGTGCAGAGGAGATGCAGTGGGCTGAGTATTTCTAGGTAAATGGTCTGCAATTTGGGAATTCAGTATTGGGAAATCCTCTTGCTCCTCAATGTAAGTCGAAACTTCAATGTAATTGTAATTACATTGCAATTAGTAATGAAGTAAGAATATTTCAGTCTCCAACTGTCAACTCTTTTGTCTTATGTCTTGATTGGTTCAGAATCCCAGACAGAATGGAGATGCTTTTAGATTCATCAAACACATATCACAATACACTTGAATGGGGAGTTCTGCCACCCATGATGCCTATTAGAGGAATCCAATGATGGGACAGAAATTGTTCCTTTCTAGTAACCCTGCTCTACTCAGCTGTATGCTGGAAGTAGCCTGGCAAAGTGTGGCCTTGGTGTAAATGCCACGTAGATCCAATCACATGACAGCTAGAGCTGTCAGTCAACAGTATTTCCGCAGTAGGTTTTCTTCCTCATTCTTTATTCCAACTGATCTTACAATGTCAAGAGACAGGTGTGTGTGTGTGTGTGTGTGTGTGTGTTTATGTAACTTAATGGCGCTTAATGAAGGCCAATGAGTGTGCACGTTTCTACAGAGGTATACGTAGTTGTACATGTGAAATTATACACATATGACATACCATATGTATTTCATAAAAGCTTTAGATGCACTTAGTATTTTCACACAAAGGTTTAGAGGTAGATTAGGTCATATCAAGTCATGTTGGATAGTGGGAAAATCCCCAAATTTGTGGACATATTGACAAAGAGAGAGAGATTCAACTCTTAAAATGGCCACTTGCAAAATTTCATAGAATTTATGAGGAATATGAGAGATAATAAATGCAAATATGCCTTGTAAATTGAAAACCCCAAACACATTAATGATTATTATTACACATTTACCACTATACTAATGCCAAACTATTTCCAGGTGTTTCTACTCAGCATACCCAAGTGTATTTAGACCTAGCCAGTTAGAAACCAAAAGAACTAAGGAGATGGAGCATGATAAAAGCTTAGTAGAATAATTAAAATAAATATGTGAGTGGCACAAGCCCAAGTTTATATAATAGTGAATCCAGCCATCTCAAAAACTACCAGCCCTACAAATTGGACCCTAATTATAGAAATAATCCTAAACTTTTGTAGAACTAGAATAGAAACAAAGAAAATTAATAAAAATTTAATGAAAGCAGATGGGCTTGTAATAATCCCAATCCCAATTTAAAACCCAGCCTCTATGTGAATTCTCCTTTTTTCTTCATTTTAACCTTCAGCCATTTCTTTGCTTTTCAGCTCTTCTGAGACTCTGCCTCAGGAATTCTGAAACATTTCTTACATAAGTTATGGTCTTTTGTTACATTATTGGAATTAAGCTTTTAAGTGCAGATGATCTGGTAACACACAAACTCACAGTAAAAGTTATACAACTGATATTGGAGACTCTCTGGGTACCAGCAGTGTTAAGAGAAAAGGTGGAAATGTGGCACATGCTGGGGTAAGAGGATGGATCGCATCTCTGGCGGGGGAGGTATACCTGGAGGCCTCAGTTCCTAGAGACAAGAAGCAGTGGAATGAGTTGGTGAGGACTGTGTGGAAAAAAGATCACATATGTACTCAAACAAGGTGGAAGCAAGGTTTCAAGGAGATATTTGCGCACTGTTAGGGTTTGGATATGGTTTGAGTGTATCCCTCACATGTTCATGTGCCAGGAACATAGTCCCCAGTGTGGTGGTGCTGAGGTAGTAGAAACTTTAAGAGGCAGAACCTGATGGAAATTTGCTAGGTCATTGCAGGCATCACCCTCATATGTTATTCAGCCTTTTTCAACAGAAAATCCTGACATACACTATGACATAAATAAACCATAAGGACATCATGCCAAGCAAAATAAGCCAGTCACAGAGATAAATGCATGGATCCACTTACCTAAGGTACTTAGGATAGTCAAATACATAGAGACAGAAAGTAGAATGGAGATTGCCAGGGGCCAGGTGGAAGGAGTTATTGCTAACAGGTATGGAATTTCACTTTACAAGATAAAAAGAGTTCTGAAGATGGACAGGACAGTAGTGATGACTGCACAACAATGTGCATGCACTTAAAAATACTGAACTGTATACTTAAACATAGTCAAGATGGTAAATTTTGTTACATGTATTTCTCCACACTTAAAAATTAAGTATAGAGTGCATATGCACTCTATAATCCCAGCATTCTGGAAAGCTAAGGCAAGAGGATTGCAAGTTCAAGCCCAGCCTGGGCAACTTAGTGACTTAGCAACAACCTGTCTCAAAACAAAAAATAAAAAGGGCTGAGGAGGGCCGGGGATTTAGCTCAGTGGTTCTGCCGCCTGCCTCGCAAGCGCAAGGTCCCAAGTTCAATCCCCAGTACCAAAACTAAACAGACTACCTAATGTCATTGAGCATATCACAAAATGTACCACTTCCAGCTATTTGGGGCAGAGGATTCAGCTCAGTGGTTTCGCCGCCTGCTGCGCAAGCCCAAGGACCCAAGTTCGATCCCCAGTACCAAAAAAAAAAAGGGCTGGGGATGTGGCTCAACGCTGAGGCCCTAGGATCAATCCCCATGACTGCAAAAAATAAATATAAATAAATCAATATTAAATATATATACTCTATTTTTAATCAAATTGCAAAACCCTAACCCTAACCCTAAACCTAACTTCTACATTTTGGGGAAAGAAACAGAGAAGGGCAGCAAATTTTGCACGTACTATATGTCTTTGCCTAAGTCTTGTCCTGTGTTAACCACCAAAGCATTAGAAGAAATTGAATTTTTTTAACATTCACATATATGTTATTCAGGCTAGTAATGTCATGATTGTATTAGAAACTAAAATTACTAGCAGATTGTATTAAATGTGCATTTAAAATAACAGCAAAGTAAACATGCTACTCGAAGTATGGCCTGCAGAGCAGCAGCAGCAGCTTCTGAGAGTATGTTAGAACTGCAGAACCCAGTCCTACAGAATCAGAATCTGCATTCTATCCAGATTCCAAGAGATTCAACTGTCCATCAAAATTTGAGAAGCATTGTCGTAAAATTTTGAGAACTGCAAATAGAGCAAAAAATAACACTTGCTCAGTTGAAATGGGAAGAAAACAAGTCATTATTGTACTATGAGTTTAAGAAAAAGGTACTATTTTTATGTTCTCAAAAATATTTAAAGCCAAATCTATTTATTGCCTTTAACTTAGAAAATACTTAAATTGAACCACAAGTTTGATTTAATGTGTTAATGACTGTTCTTTTATAGTAGCTTTCATTAAAGTAAAATGATTTCTCAAAAGCAAAGAGCTAAGTACAAAGCTCTTGTTAAGTGGCCAAGGATAGACTTGGTAGACTTACATTCCAAGAACTCATCATTACAGCAGAACTAATGCAGGGTATATTAATAAATTTGCCAGGGAAAATACTGACCCTCATAAACATTCAAGAACAACAAAATTCTGGCCACTAGCAATTTGAGAAAAACCACTAATACCCACAGCCAACTGGATTCACTTAATGGAATTAAAATACTATGGAGACAGGACAAAATAGAAGTCCCAATATAATCATTTGAATATAAAAAAGGAAACAAATTGACAAATATAAGTATTCAAAAACACAAAAATGGAATAAGAAAGAGAAAATACATGTTTGGATTAAGAAGGCCTTATTGAGATTTTTAAGTGACTTTATTCTAACAGGTTTCCCCTCCTGCTTCCCTCCTGAAACAGTGTGATTTAATACTAGGTTTATGGTTAACACAACATGAAAAAAATACATTTCTGATAGGAAGACAAAAACTAGTAACTATAGCTGAAGCAGAGGTGACTGGGAGAGAAGCAAGTTAGATTCAGTCTCTAACACTAGGGTATACTTGGCTGGGAAACATTTTCATCCACTTAATGATAATCTTCAACAGTTATTGGAATCTCTGCCTGCTTTTATTTCTTCTCCTGGAAAATTTCCATTTATTCGGGCTTTTGCAATAGTAAAAATAAGTAGATTTGACTCAACAAAACCAACTATTGTTTTACAGGAACAAACTGAAAATTAACCCAAGTTTTGGCTTGTTGTTTTTGAAATTAATATTAAGGAACAATTTAGAAAACCTACAGAGGTTTACATGAACTCATCAATAGCAAAATCATTTTTAAATAATTTTAAGTGTTTTTAAGAATAAGACAGAATACCTTTAAACTGCTAAATCACTTGGCACATTCCACATGTCCCCTGGTGTTCTCCAGGGCAGCACTGAAGGTGAGATATTGGCTCTTTGTTTTCTGTATTGAAACCTTGACATCTTAGAACCTAAAATGGGAAGCCAGAATCTGGGCTTCACAGATGAGATCTTAAGAGATTAATTTAATACTCCTATAAATATCTCACTCTTATTTCATCAAGTGTATGTAACAACAACGGGGTAACAAGGAATTTAACAGGGGAGAAAAGGTATAAGACCCCAGAAGCCACCCTTGAGTTGAGACAAACATCAGCAACTTTCAGCGGTTTGAATAGTAAATGCTTTTATCTAAGAAGAAAACCTTGGACACCCACCGGTGTAAGTGTGAAAGGCATAAACCTGAGTTCGGAGACTGGGCCTGCATCTAAATGCCTGCTGATACCAGTCCTTCCCAAACAGGGACATACACAAAAGCCACAGGGTGTTTGTTATCACCATGAGCTAAACAGACTGCACCCTTCAGGGGAAGTTGTTTTGCAGTCCCCAGCAACCCAAAATCATAGAATGTTCACAGGAACTAAATATCTTCAAGGGATGCTCCTTTCCTAAAAAGGAGGCTTGAGACCCCCATACACAGCCTGTACACAGAAGGAAACTGGGCCCTGGAGGTTAAATCCATTCCAAGAGCCCGCATCATCATATAAATAAGATGTTATACTTGATTTCCCTTCACATTATTTCAACTTTGCCCAACCATATGAAATTGATTCCATGATAGGCAAATAGTCTTAAAATTCTCTTTAAAAGCTATTTTTTACCTCTGTCTTGAACAGCTAAATTTATATGTCCTTCCAAATGCAAAACTAGATATGCAGATAGAGCTCAGTGATAGAGTGCTTGCCTAGAAAGCACAGAGGGGGGGAAAAGAAAGCAAAACTAAAACATTATAAGACTTCTCCTGTAGCTCCCAGTGACCATTAATGGCACTTGAAAATACACAGAAACTTCGAAAAATAAAGGGCACATTTAACAGACATTAGCTTTTTCATCTAGCCAGAGACAGCTATTTGCTTAGCAAACACTGGATCTTTTAGAAGACAGTATCAGTTTTATTCCTTTTTCAAATGCTGTATACGGCATAGAACTCTACAATCTGCACATTAAGCAATTTCTACCTTAAGTTTAAATATATTTATGTGATAAGAAAACGTACATGCATATGAATATATAGAATTTTTAGAAATCATTATTTACATTAAAAATTTCTTTATACAAACATTTTAACTTTAAAAAAAAATAAGTGTTTGGCAAGAACCATCTGAGACAGCAGAAAATCCACCTTTCCATTTAAGCACCCTTTCACTGAGAGACGTGGGTGATGGCAGATGAAGGCCTCTTAAGAATAGACTCAACAGAAAATGACAGCGGTTCATTCACCGAGAGTTTTGTTCCAACTTGTTTGGCTACAAAAAGGTCTTTTGCACATCTATCTATTGTAAATGTGTATTTCTGGTTCTCCTTGACCAAACACTCTCTGTGCTTCTTTGGGGTCTCTTCAAAGACCTCTTTGACAAATGGTGTTTTCAGATCGGGACCTGATTTGTCATTAAGCGTTTGCTGGAACAAAGAGTGGAATGGATTATTTCTAAGTGGCAGCGGGTGCCTAGTATTTTCTTTGCTGATCTTGGTTAAGGCGTGCCCTTGAGCTTCCAGGGAGTCCCTGTCAACAATGGGAGAGAAATTCCGTTGGGGTGAGGAGAAGGCAGACCTCTCGGGGGCAGCCTGGTGACCCTGAAAGTCAATTCTTGAGGTCTGGACCTCAGGAGGGTGATGCAACACCAGGGAGCTCTCCAATTTCGGTGGCATCATGTTGTGTTCTGCGCTGAGTTCATCCTGGGCCCTTGCTCCCTTCAAGTCCCAGCTGGCCACAGGTTTCAGGGCTTGAACTGAGGTGGTAGCATTTAGAAGGCATTGTTGGTAGAGAAGGGTGTCACTAACTGGGCCACATTTGGGCCAAACTAAAAATCTTGAGGACAAAGGATACTGTCGGTAAGTCGTGGCCACACTAACATTAGAGGAAATCAGTTCCATATTCCCGGATCCTGAGTATTGCATGGTGAGATCAAGGCAGGTGGGCAAAAAACTGCAGAAGTCCTTGCTTGGCAGCTCCCCTGGGGTGGGGCTGTAGGCACTTTTGTAGGAGCTGTATTCAGGTCCAGACACTATGTGGTTGGGCAGGAACAAGGCAGCAGCTTGGGAAGTTTCCAGCATCTCTCTCTCTTTATATTCTCTTTCCAGCATAATGTTCTCCAACTCTTTGTCAGCAAAGGCTCTTCTTTTTCTCATCCTGTCACTAACTGGGGGAGGTAGAGGTAGGGTCCCTCCCAGGTATGTCTCCGCTGTTACAGGGCGATAGCCTAAAATAAGCAAACATGGCACAGGAAAAAATTAGCATCTAGGGAAGAAAAGTCTGGAAATGTAAAAAGCAAACGAAATACCATAAATTGGCAGGACAATTGATTATAGTTCTATATCTCTAGTACTTTTATGCAGAAAGCAAAACTATAGCTTCAATGTAAAATAATTCCTTTTGAAGGAAGGACATCCATATCGTAATATTTCGTTGCAATTGTTTTTATTGATATAGGTTTGCTTACTCTCTTGTTTTGACAAGTGTACTTTATTGACTGAGATTTTATTATTCTTCCAAGACCCTACATATTAAGAGACAAAGCTGCCCATCTTGCTTCAATCAACATTTTATTGTCATCCATGTCATCTTTTTTCATTATTAAAAAAGATATCTATACCTAGAGCTGATGTCACTTTTATTTTCTAAAGATGGCTCATTATGTACACATTGTTACAGGTGTAGAATAATCCAAGGAGAACTAGGAAAAAAGAGAAAGAAGTTACAGCAGACTAGTGAAGAGAAAAAGGGAAAAAAAAGACTTAAGGAAACAGAGAAGCATAGAAAATTGAAAAGAGCTGTTAACTAGTCAAACACTCTGCAGTGAACAATTTAGCTAGGCCTTCCCCCTGACTACCAGCATAAATAAAGCAAAACAAAACAAAATGTGGGAGGAGGGCGGATAATTCCTTGCTATACTGAAAATAACAGGTTTAAAGCATTTTCCCAAGTGCCAATCATGTTGGCCAGATGCCAAAATGGTTGAACAAGCAATAATTAGAATACAGGTTAAGTCATCCCACATTTCATGAACAGAGACAAAGTCCAAAATAAAGATTAGTGTAGCGTAAATAGAATTCCTAATGGCATAAAATACTTCAAGCATTTCATCATCCCCAAATACTCACCACCACCAAATGTGTTTGAAGGATCCACTGTGATATTTGTGTTTACATAGTGGCAAGCCCATCATACTCATTTGCAAATAAAATTTGAAAATTAATGTTTCCATTTCTATAGTATGTGTTTGCCAGGAAGTTATTTACTTGAATTTACTATTTCATTTGGTCCTAGTACTTCTCAAGTTGCTTTGGCAAAATTTCAATTTATCAATGTGGCCCCTATAGTTATAAATCTATTTGCCCAATTCATTTTTAATTCGTGAGAACTCACTCTATGGTCAGAAGTACACAACACAGGGAGAAACACGAACAAACTTTAAAAACTACTAGAACTAACTAAATTCAGAAACTATGCAAGAAAAGACAGAACCCAAATATCTGATTTAAAGAAAAAAATCTACAATCTGAACTTTATGACGTGGCAGTGATTAAAACAAATACAAACTCTGTTTTTAGTTGCATTTAAGAAAAACTTTAAAAACTTAAAGAAAATGGTAAAGTATAGTCAATATATTATCAGATCAAGAAATAAATTACCCAAATAGAGAGATACTTTAGAAAATCAGTAATATTTTACAAAAATTTCATGCAGTTGCAGGCTTTAGATAAAATAAAGTTAGAGGAGAGTTAGAGACTTCCCAATGCTCAAATTCAACCTGTACTTTGCTTGTTTGATTCAAAGCCTTTTTCAGATTCTACCTTAGCTGTCCAAAATGGTAAAAAATGAAGTGTGTAATAACAGCAATCATCTAGCTATTGGGTGAGGAAAATGCTATGAAAAAGAATGGAACCTAGGGTTGAACCCACGGACTAGAGGTCTTATTGTTCACACTTCCTGGTTAAACCCCTCTCCTCTCTTGACTTGGGAAATCCACTGAGCTGCTGCTGCCAGCGAGGAAATTGAGATGGGAGCAAGTGTGTGCTTATTCATCAATGTCTTTCTTTCCACCCCTGCTCCAGGACCATGTGACAGTGCATTTTGGTACACTTTCTCACAAATTTCACATGCACTACATCTTAACTCACTAACTACAAAGCAAACGACACAAGCATCCATATTCTTAAACTGATGATGACAGAAACCTCAGTAGTTGAGATTCATTTCCTGGGAGCCTAATAAAAGTACCTTCCGCTCAAACAACTCCCACACAGGTTAGTAAGTGCATCATGTGACTGAATAATGAGTCATTCAATTCAATTTAAAAAGATAAAAGATTATTTGGAGTTGCTTTACCTTCTAAAATGCTTTTGGCCAGCAAACTAGGTGCCCTGACTTGCCTCTGGTACACTGCTTTTCGTTCGAAATTATTTTGTTTCCCAGAAAGCCCTTTCTTGTCCTGTAAACACAAGAAATGTAATCAATAATTCCCTGAAAGACAGTGTAACAAGGAAGGGAGAAGGAAGGGGCCCAGCCTAAATGTATTTATTTTGTCCTCCTGTGTGAAAAGTGATTTTAAACACAAGTATGGAATCCCAGCAGTCCGGGAGGCTGAGGCCGAAGGATCGCAAATTAGAGCCCAACCTGGACAATGTACCGACTTATGGAGACCCTGCCTCAAAAAAAAAAAAGAGTTGGAGATCTTTCAGTGCAAAGGCCACGAGTGCAATTCTCCTACCAAAGAAGGGCAAAAAATCCCAAACAAACTATCATAACACCCCTTTGTCCTAGGGCAAGAAGTGGAGGCTCTCTCCAAAGATGGCAAACGGTGAGTTGCCCGTCTCCTCTTTCCAGCAAAAAGTCACCCCAGATTTGCCCATGAGAAGTGAAGAGCCCTAAGGAAGTGAGGTGGACTCCAGGGGAGTGTAAGGGGCCGCCCTGGCTTGAAGAGAGAACTCAAGTGATAACTGAGCTCACCCATTGGGCTGAATGTGCCCAGAGCTTGTGCTTGGGCATAAATACAGACCAGGGTCTCTGCAAAGAAGGGTGAGGGCACTAGACAGAAAGGGGCAGAAGAAGAGGCTCCCAGGTCCTAAGGCAAACTGGGGTGCTAAGAACAAAACTCTACTGGCGACAGCCAGGAATTTAGAATAAAGGGTCCTCTTACCCCTGTGGTCACCACCTGCACTGCCAGCTGCTTCGAACCCAGGGCCCATGATCACGCGGTTGCCCAACCCGGAGGATGAACCCCCAACCCAGGCCACCTCAGGGTCCTCCGTGTTCTCCTGGGCTTGGGGACAGGGCCGCTGTCCCTTGAAGTCACTGGCTTCGGTGTGCCCCAACACACTTCCCAGCCCCTCTCGCCAAAACAATAAAATCAAAAATCCTCCCCAGGTTAGAAGCAGAGCGCTTGGCTAGCACGCTGGAGGCCAGAGCTTTCATCCCACCACCTCAAAAACAGAAACAAAAACTCTTGTACCAAAGGAGAAGCTTGGCGGCTGGGGATGCAACTCGGGGGTACAGCGCTTTCCTAGTGAGGCGCTAGTGTTCTATCCCCAACGCTGCAAAAACTAAAATATAAACATCTCCCTTGCCCTGAGTCTGGGAAGAGGCTCTTCAAAGCCTTACTCTGAGCACCCCACGTGCAGAAACACATAGAAATATCAAGTCGAGGTTCCTGAGCCTCCGTCTTAAAGAAAACCCCGGCTCTCCTCACAACTGACCCTCCACAGATTCTTTGCTGCAGGCACCTAACTCCGCAGGCCCTTTCTGTCTCATCCGTAAAATGGGCAGCAAGATCCGCCTGGCTCCAAAGGCCCGGGAAGCGGAAACGCAGAGCGCCGCGCCCTTCTTGTTTGTACCCAGCACTACTCCTGCAGCAAGGACACCAGCCGCTCTCGATCATTACCAGAATTAACTTTGATGACTTTCTCCCGAGGTCCCAAATAGGCCTAATTACTTTCACTTCACAGCGCTTCTCTCCCCCCTCCCCCTTTAAAGTAGAAACTCCGGTCAAGTTCCCCAGTGCTGCCCTCGCTGGCGTTCCCTCCTCCCCCACCCTGCGATCCTGTGGGCAGGGAGGCGTCCTCACGTCCCTTTAGGAAGTGCCAGGCTCCGCAAGGCCCGGGTCCCCGGGGGTGGGCACGGCCCCATCCGCCCGCCGACTCCGCCGTGGCCTGGGCCACGCGTGGCGCGCCGGGACGTGGGGACGCACCTCGGTGGCCTGCTGCCTCCGGAGCGCCACCTGGGCGGCCATGACCCGCTGGCGCTCCACCACCAGCAGGCAGTTGGCGCACTGGCAGTCCCGCCAGCGGCAGAAGCGCTTGTGGCCCTTGAGGCAGGACACCACGCCGTGGTTGCGGCAGCGCGCGCACTTGGGCGTGCGGCTGAGCTTGCGAGGCTCCGCAACGCTGCCCGAGTTTGCACCGCGCTCCGAGGGCCCGGCCGCGGCTGGCGGGGCGGGAAGCACGGCCGGCGGCCTCGGAGACTGTCCTCCCGGCTGCTCTGGCCCGCCCGGCGCCCCGGGGCGTGCGCCCGTCTCTTCCCGGTCGGCCTCTTCCTCTGCGTCCTCGTCCTCCTCCTCGTCGTCTTCGTCGTCCTCGCCTTCCCCGTCGGCCAGTGGCGGCGCCCCGCATCTGTCCTCCTCCAGCTCCAGGCTCTCCACGTCGATCTCCCAGTCCCCGGCCCCCGGGCCTGCGAGCCGGTCCGCCATGGCGCGCGAGGCCTCCTGGGCTCCGATGCCCACGCCCTGCAGGCGACACAAGAGACCCCCCGCCGCCCGCCCGTCAGGGACCGTGCCTGCGCCTCCGACGCCAAGCTGCTGGCCCGCCATCCCCTTTCCTCGTGTCCCTGTTCTCTAGGAGTCCCCCGCACCCACCACAGGGGTCTTCCTTACGTCTCTCAGGGCCCCAGGGATCCACACCCAACCGGGATTTTATTTTATTAATTCCAAGCCCTCTGTGAGCACCTAACCTGTAACCACAGCCCTCTCTGGCTTTACAGCGGTTCCAGACAGGTCTCTAAGTAACTCACTGATCTCCCAAAGTACTGTGTCCAACTAGACCGGCCTCGGCCACTTGTCAAGCTTCCCCTCATCCACTGCCCACCGCCATCATAAATATACAAATGTCGGTGGCGGGATTTTTTTTTTCTTTGATGACAAGGTACCTTCCAGACCATCCCATGCTTGCCAAAGGCCTCTCTCGTCGACCTATACCACCATAAGGACCCTGGCCTTGAAGAGGTCGTCTCATCGCGCCCCACCCCCCTCGATCACCCCCTGAAAACGGCCTGCTGTCCTTGGAGAACTGGAGAGACAGGCAGGGAGCAGCAGATGCCTCAGTAGCACTGCACTTCGCCCTGATCCCTGGGGCTGAGCGGCGGGGACTTGGTGGACACCGGGCTTGGTTTACACCCCTAGGTAAGGCATCCAAGTAACGCAGAAAAGGTAAAGAAAAGTGGTTCCCCACCTTGCCACCCGGCCCGCCCTACCCGAAGAGCATCACCGCACTCACCAAAATTTTGACACCCGCGCTAGCAGCTGAGTCAAAAGACATCCAGCTGTAGGGTCTGGCTCTTAGGCTTCGAGCTGTGCATGCACACGGAAATCGGGATCGCCACCCTTTGGCACGAAATCAGATCTGACAGCTGGAGGCCCGAAGCTCCCTGGATGGCGGGGTGGAGGGGAGGGAAGGGGCGAGGAGCGGAGTCAAGTCCTCCGTCACCTCGCTCCGCACATCCCGAACTCTGCACAAAGTTCCGATCAGGCCTCTGCAGCCTGGGGCCTTGCGCTTTGCTGAAGCCGCTTTCGGCTTCTTCTGACCCAAGCTGGGGCAGAAAGGTCGGGCAGCCCCCGGTCTGTCTCGGATCGCGCGCCTGGCTCACTGGCTCCACTGGCTCTGGTCTCCAGCCTCCGCTCCCCCTCCTAGTATTAACCACTCGGCCCCGAGCCCCACGCCCTCTGATTGGCCGGTTGTCAGACGGTGTGCACGCTGATTGGGCGAAGCGTACCGACGGGCGCTCTCCTCCTTCCTGACGCCTCCACCCCGCAGAGCTCCGCCCGAGTCCACCCGTTGAGCCTTCGCTGCAGCCGGGTCTCCAGCGCAGAAGCTAAACCTGAAGCAGGACGGCGCCTGCGGGGGAGAAGGAGCATTTATCTCGCGGACCCGGAAACAGACCGAGACACTCTTACGAATCGCGTTCCCCACAAGAGAAGGTAATAAATGACGAGGCAAAGGTCAGAAAGGCTAGCGTTGGCCTCTATTATCAGCTTCTCCAGTGTTTCTGCGACTCAGCGGTGGCCCCAAAGTTAGGTGCAGAGATGAGGCCACTGCAGTGGGCGCAAGGACACTGCCTTCTTTATCCTGTAGGAATAAATCAGTGATTACCTTGCACCACAGCGCTTAGCATACAAATGACCTTAGATATCTTTATGGACAGCGCCGCTCATCCTCAAAGTGCAAAATAGTTTCTCTCGTTAACTTTCACCGAGCTTGTGAGGCAGGTGGCCAAGTCAACTACAAGTCACTTAGATTGTTCTTCTCAGTCGATAGCTATTACAGTTAATTTTGGAGAGGATGGAAGTACATGCCACTAAGAAATTCAGGTTCAATATATTCTCTCTAAGCATACAAAGCTCTTTATTGCAAAGATGACTGCTTTTTAGTATACATGACTTCATCTAAGCAGAATTCTCTTCCACCTCCCTCAAAAATCCCTTGCAAAAATGTTTAAAACAAAATTAAATTTCCAGCAAATCGAAAAGAAGGAATTTGTCCCCTAATTCAGCTCTGTATTCTATTTCTTGGGCTAAATTTGAACACATATAGACACTTTTCTAGTTGCACTTTTAAACAGTCAAGCCCACTGAAATAGGATCGGTTTGGGAAACAGATTCCAATATTGGCTGCCATTGTATTGAGCACATAGTAGGCCCATGATCAATATTTCCTGAAGGAAGGAAGCTGCGTGACTTTTCTCTGAGCCTGTAGAAATGTTAGAAGTTAACTTGGCTCAGAGAAGGGGAGACACAGGCAGCGAGGGAATTACTGTCAAACTCAGCTACCTGCTTAAGCGCAATAGGCTCAGCCCTTAGAGGTGTGGAAAGCTCCTCCTGATGACCGGCACTGGATTCCCAGTTGTGTGGTGCCCTCCCAGAGCTGCTGGTGATGCCCAGGGAAGGAAGCAGAAATCCTCTGTCAGATTCCCATAGACTTTTTAGTGGCTCTTGGAGCCACTAAAGGTGGCTCACTGGCTCGGAGGAGGGACAAAGGGTCACAGGAACCTTCGGTGCCTCTTGCTTGGTACCATCTGATAACAGAGTTTTAGCTTTTGTGCAATTTCTTATCTCTTCAGAGTGAATTTTTTTCACCTCCGTTGGAGCGTTTGAATTCTTGACCACAGCAGAAATGTGTTTTTATCCCCAGTTTTTCCATGACCAAACCGAGGTTCAAAGAGAAACCCGGAGCAGACAGTAGTCTCTGGGAGAGCTACGGACAGGCAGGAGCGTCCTGGTCCTAGATTTGCCTCTACCCTGAAGTCTCAGAAACTTTGCCGAGCCCCTAGCTACTCGCAGTAGGTTTGCGAGGTTTCTTTTTAATTCACTGTTTTTATTTTATTTTGCTTCCGTTTGTTAGTCTCCTCTGACTTTAGTACCCGGTCTTAGAAAGAGGCCGTCCTGTAACTGGACCCCGTACGTTTTTATTAAATCTTTCCCCGGGTTTTGGCATCTCTCCCTGTTAGCTACATTTCTACCTTTGCAAACAGGCATTCCAGGGCTTCCTTCGGAGACTGGAAGCAAACTATAACCTCTACCTCCAGCTCCGCTGCCCCGTGTGCATTGGGTTGACAGGCTGGGCTTTTATTTGTTGCTTTGACAGCGTGGCGTGGGAGTAAGGAGATGAAATCATTAGCCCTTCGCCCATAATTTTAAATATTAACAAAATCAAAACACCAGGTTGGCTACCTTTGAGTAACTGGAGAGAAGGAAAAGGGAGGACCTGGAGGGAATCAGAGAGGAAAAGGGTGTCAGCAGCAGTTTCCTAAACTGAAAGTAAACTATGAGAGCCAGCAGCCCTGGAACTAGTTTGTGCTTTAAAAACTGTACAAGGAGAAAACAAATCGAATCTGTGTACAGTAAACCATGATGGCAGAAGCCGAGACCAGAGATGGGACTGAGGTGGCCTGGGAATGTTCTGGCTGAAAGGACTGGCTCGCTCCCTGCCTCTGCCCTGTGCCCCGGGGGTTCCAGAAGCAGCTGGTCCTCCAGCTATGCTCTCCTCCATGCAGGGAAAACTGGCAGCACAGTGCCCTGCTCCCTGCACACACCCCGCCACACGCCCTTCCCTCTCCACTCCGTCTGTGCGCCTGGGGACTTGCAGCTGTGGTCAGGATCCTGTTGAATTACACCCCGTCCTCTGTCCTCCAGGCCCAGTGCCTCCAGAGACACCCCCCCCCCTCACTGGGAAGCCAGATAGACTGGGGGAGCCCAGTGGAGGTTTATCCTGGGATGACTTCCCATACTGCCTGCGAAATTCTGTGCATTTTTTCCTGGAGGAAAATGGCCTTTGATTGGGTTATAAAAAGTTCTATTGCTGCTCATACTGTTTAGTAAACTAAATGTTCAGAAGAAACAGGGGTCAGGGAGCCTGGGCTCCAGCAGGTTGGTTGTTCCACTGGCTGCCTGAGCTGGTCAATTATCTTTCTGTGCCTTAGTTGCTTCATCTGCACAGTGGGAAGAGTAGCCTTTCCTGGCCTTCTCCTTATGAAGACTGGGTAATAATGAGGAGGGACACAGATGTTCCTTTCCTAGGCAGTGGTACCATTTGCAGCCTGAGCAAAGGCCTGGCCACTGAGCCTCGAAGGCTTCACTGAAAGAGGAGGGCGCAAGAAACACAGAGGTCCTTCTCAAGAGGGGTCAGGCGGCGACTGAGGACCTGTTAGGTGAGGAAACAGAAGTCTTTTTGGCTTGTAAACTGACACCAAATTACAAAGTACGATTCAGAGCCCCTCTAGTAAATTACAAAGCAGTGGGAGGCTGTTGACTCAACGAGCTGAGGATCTGGGTGGGGGCAGCCAGCAGGGTTTGCTCCTCTCCCAGCTGGCTCTGGAACAGAGCCTGGGGCCTCTCTCCAAGGCCCCCAACCTATTCCCCCCAATCACTCTTACCCTGCACCCTTTCCTGTCCCTGCTCTGCTCGGACCCCCCGAGAGAGAAGCCCCCCTTTAGCGAGTTCAACCTGGAAAAATGAACAAAAAAAGCAGGAAAGTGCAGGGTTCTTTTTCTTTTCTTGGTATGGTAGCTTTTTTTTTTTTCTTTTTTCTCCTGACTCCTCTTGAAGAATAAAAATAAATAAAGGATGGAAGCATGTCTCAATCATCCATTTCCCCGACTGAGCCCCACCCAGTTGACCAGGGAGCCACTCAGCTCTGCTGCCTCCCTCCTGCGTGGCCACAGGGTCTCGGATCCCTCCCACCCAGGCTTCTCCAGCCTGGTCCTGCCACGTCTCCCACCCAGAGCTGAGCCCATCCGGGGAGGGTCTCCCGTCCCTGAATGGGGTGGGATGCAGCAACTGTTCAGCTTGATGGCCCGAGGATGTGGGTCCCATCAGTCACTGGGGTGGGGTGGGGGATGCTGCGAGGGATTCTCAGCTTGCTCTTTGCCTTGCCAGACGAAGAGTGGACTAACCTTAAAGGAGGCAGCTCCGTGACAGGGTGGCCCGCCCACATTATGCATTCAATACTTGAAAATCGTTTGCATTATTTTTATTGTTACCATTTTGACTCAGAGCTCTAAACTTAGGGGGAAATTGGTTCGAAGCATGGTTTGCTCCTGGCCCTCCCCAACCTCAAAGCCTCACACCTCCAGGTGAGGAGGGAGGCCTTGGAGCTCTCCTCCATCGCCAGCTGAGATATCCATCCTAAATCAACCTGCTGCTAGGAGCCAGGCAGTGACTGGGCTGTGCAGACTTCTGAGCATGTTGGTAGAGAGGCTCTGCTGTCACCAGTAATGCCTCTAGTTTCTCCAGAGATGACCTGAATCCACCTCGTCTCATGGAAAGCTACTCCTCACACTGTCATTTTAGGACTATGACTGGCTGCAGACCCGGGGAAATAAATAATCCCAGATGGGACTGCAGAGATATGATTTCTCAATTTACTTTGCATAATCAAATATATGACCTGTCACAGTCAATGGGGGTGGAGGTGAAGGAGAGGAGCTTGTGAGAGATAACTTCTCTACCAGGCAGTTCGAATTGTTCCTCCTATCCCTGCTCTGTGTGTCCCAAAAGCAAAGGATACTTCTATCTGGGCTCTCACCCCTCCTCCGTGGGAAGCAAGGTTTAAATCAGAGACACTGAAGACTGAAAGGGTCCCTTAGTCCATCCCTGTATATTTACAGATGGAAGGGAAACCTGGAACTCTGAGGAGTTAATGAAGGACATCTAAAGGGCCACACAGCTACATGTGGCTGTTTGGGACCCAAAAGGCCACAGTTACTTCCCCT